GGTATTTATTAAATTTCAGTCCTAACACCAAACCAAAGAAAAGACAAATGTGAATAAGATCGAAGAATGGAACTAAGTTGTAAATGAACTGAAACAGCATCATTCAAACAGAGATATGTTTTGGCAGAATTTAGCAAGTGCATAGAATAACTCTTGACTGAGCCCACACACATCTGCAAACTCCAACACAGGTGGCGCGAGGTAACACTACCCAGATAGAGATCTACAAAGGTGGACTGAATCAGTTTGTTTCCATCAGTAATGTCAACACACGCTGTGGCCTTCACCTTGGCAGGAAGGCATAGAATGCATTGACAGACTCTGCAGGGAATACCGACCTACAGCAGAATACCGCTGAAAACCAGGCTTCTTATGTACCGGTATCATTTCTATCGATCAGTATTATTGATGGAACATACATCATATATACATGTATGATGAATGATTGTCATTGTATTTTTGCTGGAATGGCTCAAGTGGAATGTGCAATGCAGGTAATTTTTCCTATGCCACTGACTGCAATATGACAGTCTCTATCAGACGTACATGTACAATGTAGAATGCTGTGCAATACACGTATATCCTTTGCAGTAACTTAAAGTCAGAGCCATAATTTGATTTGCAGCATATAAGCAAGTATGTTTAACAAATTTGGTTACCCTAAATACAAGGTTTAAAAGTTTCACTCCACTCCGATGCCAAATCATTTCAAATGTAGAGATACTGGTAACCATTTTGAACTCCTTCATTTCATCTTTTGCCAAAATGGTCTAACAGGGGATTTTTTTTGTTGGCAGACAAAAAACTTTAGATAAATCTCCATCTTGCACATATCTCTGGACTGATGTATCTTTTTTTAGGCAACAAACCTGGATGAAATTTGACTGGATTTAAACAACCCTCCCATCTATACTCAAGCTCGCTAATTTGCAGGAGAATAGAAGCCCCTGCAATATAATCCCAATGCTGTCCGTTCAGATTTTATCATCTTCATCCGACCTTGACGATCACTTTAACACATCTCACCAGCACATGTGGAATATAGATCACTGGGTTATTATCCAAAGGGGTGCAGAGAACACAAGGGTGCACACGTCTTTACATTATTCTTTCTTCATTCGTTTGTGTGATGTGAAATATAAATTTTGTTTATTTTTTTTTATTGTGGGTTATTTCCATTGGGTCTCTGTCTTGTTTCAAGATATACTTATCTGTACCTCAGTTTTGGTTTTTCTCCAGGAACGGTAGGAACATGATTGTATTTTCACGTAGACATTATTTTCGTTGACCATGATAATACTGGGTGTTTCAAATATTTGTTGATTGGGGTCTGTTAAAGTCAGAACTGTACTGATGGAGTTAAATTTAAAGACCAACAAAGTATTATTGGAGGGAATGTTTCTTCGAAAACAAATCCAGACTTACAGGTACATGCACTTAGAAATTCTTGAAAGTTATTTACTGGAAATAATGAACTTAACAACAAAGGTAATGACAAATTGATGGAATTTTGCACCAACATGAACAAATACAGAACTAATGCTGATACAACAATGTACCGGTAACTCTAGACTGATACTCTTGCGTTACGGATGAATTGTTCCCTTTTTCTGCATTGGAATGAAACACTGATTCCATCACAGCACTGCCACTCCTCCCAATGGTCCCCAATTCCCAGAACACTCAAGAAAATATGCTCCAAGGATTCAGGGGGATTTGTGAAGCTTCAGGAAGGGATCCTCCTTGACGTGCAATATTTCTAAGCAAATACCAGTCGGCAAAAATGTCATCGGGTGACAATGTAAGTGTGCATCAATATCAGCTGCTGATTACTGTAAGTGATAGGATAAATTGTCATCTGTGGCATTTCTAATAATGGTCTCCATGGCAGACAAGGTTGTCCTGCACCTGACCAGAATCATGCGTAGACATGTAAGGACGTAGGTTTGTTCCGTGGATTCAAAGCAGATTTAACCGCGCACCCCAAAGCGGCAAATCATTTCAAATTGGCTTGGGCCGAGGTTAAGGTGGAACCAAGAATGACAGTCTCTGCTTGAGTATTCATCCACTGAGGAAGGAGGAAGTTAGCAGTCAAGGGCATTAATGTTGCTACCCGAGACGATCAAAGAACAATTTGGACAATCGGTCCAATAATTGGTGGAAGTTTCATCAAGCAAGGTTAAGAGTTTGGCTGTGCCCCAAGCTAAATCAAGAGCACTTCACATGTTTGGAGATACCGTATGTAATTCAAGCATTCACTTTGACAGGAATCTTGCAGACATTCTGAACTATTTGTGTAGCAGGTGTGCATTAGTAAATCTGCAGTTTTAGGCGATGTTCAGAAACAGACAAATGTGCAAGGATAGAGGTAATGTACACATGCACCGGTATGAAGCCAATCACCAAACTGACGTTGGTGTGTTTTATCTTACATCAACCAATCAAGTTGATTGTCATTTTTTAGCAGTGAGTAGCCTACACTTGTAAATGTTTTTGTCCTCTGCATTGTACTCATATACATAATTTCTGAGATTGAAATGAAATTTTAAGAAATGAAATTGCAGACATATGAATAAAATTACACACACAGGTACCGGTACATTACATGTAATTCATTTGTAAATACAAAACACCTGAATTAGTAATTATTTTGATATTACACACCTGTAATGACTTCCCACACAAAGCTGCATTGTAGTGTCACTGTTTGGATGAAATATATCTGCGGTAGTTACTGTAAGCGGTAACCAAATGTATTGAAAATTCAACAACCTTCAGACACACATGCACACTTGTCTAAATACACCCACTGGCCATCTTTAAGGGGCACTTGCAATGTCTCAGAGAGGACACTTGCACATCGGTGTTGCACATTGAGACAGATGACAGTCGGTTGGTTGCTCCTCAAACAGCAAGACAGATCAAGTCCAACCCTGGAACCAAATGAAACTTGACACCCAAAGTACAGGCATGATGCAGGAGTCTTTTGGGAAGACTTGAGAACGATTTCTTGCGTGGTTAACATCTGCTTCAATAGCGCCTTACTGATGGAAGATTTTCAGTGCATGCCCAGCGTGTAGACAGCCTAACCTGTTCTCGTCAACAACTTGTAATGACTCACCACCGCCTTGTTCCATCATCTTTGCTTCATCTCAGGGAATTTCTCAAATCGTGCTCTGGCAGCAGAAACAAACATTGCCTTCTTCTCATATTTGATACAGTTTCCATCTCTTTTCGAAAGGCAGAAGAGGGTAATTTCTTGCCACTTATGATGTACGACATCTGTGCTTGTTCTTCAACAAAAATACTGGTAGTGTGAGTGATAGATCTATGACATGTACCTCGTATATCTTACCTTACAAGAACAGTTACAGTTGTATGTAGGCAATAAATATTCCCATTCATTGAGAATTATTTGCCCCGAGTGATTGATTTCTAGAACATTTTCCACAAATTGGTGAAAACTGAGACAAAATTCTCTCTTTTGATTTATGACTACAATGACAAAATTTTCCCGACATTTTCCAGAGTGCGGAGAAAAACGTCTCGAGTATCAATTATTTCTGCATCACTCACTAGCCAAGCGATAGTCATCACCATGAGTAGCATGGATTAGAAGACACAGGCAAGTACATTCTGGGAAGCTGGTGCATCAGATCTGCCAGGAAAAACTCTGCCAGGAAAAAAACTCCAGCACTCCAAGCCCAAGGCTTGGCTTTGGCTGATCATGCTGTGAGTCACATCGGACATAGGCCGTGTTGCCAGTAATAATCACAATGTTTGCTCCAATTTCAATCATCAGGTGTCTCCATTCATACGCTTATCATACTCAAACAGGCTTCGATAAATTATGAATTCTTATCTTTTTAACCACGCTTTTTAATAATGGATAAATGTCCTTTTTACTAAGAAAGAGAAATAGTAATTTAGTTGCATCATGAAAGAGCCTCCACCTTCGTTAAGCTAACGAATATCTACTAAAAACAAAGAAATGTAATGTACCGGTACAGTACTGGTGAATGGTAAATGTTTCATTTCACTCACATGTGACAAAAGGCCCAGAACACACTAGAAATGAATTGGTTGAAATATAATAATGCAATGGCCAAACACTGTATTTATAATCACTTCTTAAAAATAAGAGCAAAAGTCTAAAATACTTAAAGTTGACTCAAGAGCAATCAGAATTGTTATCACCCGTTGCCATGACAATTTATGCAGTTATTGTTTGAAGGTCACAGTGATTAATTATTGTTCAATAATCAAGAGAAAGGATAAATAGTCCACTGCTAGTAATAAACCTCATCAGGAAGATCCCATTGACATATGTTCTATAAATAGCTCACAAGAATTTTGAATTTGCTTGCTGAGTGAATGATCAAAACTTACTTTTACCATAAGATTTGAAAGTCAAATTTGAGGCTGCTTCAATGTACTGGTAAATATACAATGGCTTTTCAACTAGTTTTGAATGTATTAATTAACCCTAACAGTCCCAAATCCTCCAATTTCAAACGATTTGACATACATGCACACCCTGGGGGGGTTAGGGTTAATAGACTTATTTACAGTTCATGGACCACTGACACAACATTGTCTCCTGTCTAATTTTACAACTGGACTACCAAGACAAGTGAGACATTTTAATGAGATTCCAGAGCCGAAAATACAAAATTGACAGCCTGTTGACAGTCTTGTTTCAGGACCAGTCCCTTTCAGTAATGGATTAATTTCCAAAACCTTAGAATATACATGTGTACATGTAATTTATTTCAAAGCCTAACTACAGGTTGACCTAAGAAGCAGACCATGGAGCTAGTAGTTTGAGAGATTTGCAATTGATGCAAATGCTGCTAATGAGAACATGCAGCCATGCTAGAAAATATGGAACATCAATGCAAGGATTGCATGCAAGCTAAAAAAAAAATAAATTAGACCAAACGTTGTGCGTGGGTACTAATACAGCACAGCGTGGACAATATGCAACAGACAAAACATACCCCGATTAAGCAGGTCATCAGATGGTCGTATGCTAACAGGACAATGCTGCAGGACACGGCTCCAATGCCAAGAGTCATTATGCCATGCATAGGTGTCATCTCGTAGCATGCACACAGACTCTCGGGGGGGGGGAGGACAAGCTTGCATGCTTCAATGAGAATTCCAACATCAACAGAGGGCTCACTTCACTACTCAGAGAATATCTACTGCTGCACCAGTACTTCTCATCGTCAGCAATGCTGATCAGTGTACATGTATTAGAATCCACATTATGCTGGATGCCTGGTTGGAGATTGTTGGTTGCTATGACTACGTGTACATGGTAACAAGAATGACAGCATCCGTTGCCATGGATTCTAAAGCCCACAGATATACGCATACAGGCAGAAGATATTCCATCTTCCAGGAATTCCTGCAATAACAGTATTCTTTAAGGTCCATCTTTTCCTGAAAATATCATTCAAAGTATTTTTCTCTGGTAACAAATTAACCTAATAATATATCAAACTAAGCTGAAGTTTTAGCCAAAACATAAATACATAAATAAAAAACAACACCTTTATTGCACCGTAGTCCAAAAGCACCGTTAAATTATGCATAAAGATGTAACAATCCTTGTGCATTTGAAATGTGTGGTCATGACCTAGTCATTTCATTCCTGATTCAAACTTCTCAACCCACTGAATGAAGGTAATAAAGCTTTAAGGTCATCTTGGAAAACAGCAGTTACAATGTCACAAATTACCGTGTAACTGTACATGACCACTGCCTTTGTAGATCTTTCATTTATCCCAAATTTACAGTTTAGAATTCCTTCTCCGTCTCAGTTTTCCCCCTGTGTGTCAATGGGCAAATTTACAGTGCCTGATAGCACACATGCCAAATATGTCCTCCAGAACAGCTTGCTTTATAAAGTCCTTTCCATGCAAACTGTTCAGTTCCAAGGGGAGCTGTCCAAGGGTAAGAGACATGTCACTGATTGAGACGTCACTGACCAGCAAGCACCTTGTCAACTATGTACTCAATACAAGCTCAGAGTAGAGTCCTGTTACACATGTTCAAGGGAGACTGTGAAAATACGTGTAGAGCTACAAAACTGTGATTAGACCAGAAAAAGTGAATACCAAAATCATGCAGATTTGGCACTGGATGGAGTGCAAATGTAAAGTTGTTTATACATTTCCCATTAATCTATTGAATTCATAATTAGAGAATCTATACAGGCCTTCTTGTGGCTTACGAAATTCATGCAACAATAGAGAAATCATACATAGTCCACCCCGCTTAAGTAGGTTTGAGCTCCTCTATTTGTCTGGTGTTTATTTGTTTCAATTATTATAATTACGATTAGTGATTAACGTGTTTGTCCTTGCTATTTTTTCAAATGTAATTTTAGTGTATTTTACATAAATTTTAATTAGTCTGTTAAGAGGTTTTAATAACTGTAAATCATGATTGGTGTTTTATGTGGTCGTACTTGTTGTTTTTGGATGTACTTTAATGTACTTTAAATGAATTTTAATGAGAACCTGTAACATTCTTGTAATTTGGCTTGTTGGGCCAAGATAAGAATGAAATAAACTAAATGAATTGAAAATGAATAAATCAAATGACTTCGTTATCCTATTTATGCAAAACCTGCAAGTGGTCCTTCTTGTTAGGTTTCTTCCATCTGCTCTTCAGGAGACACTATCTGTATTAACGATTGGCATGTGGACAGAATCATCCTTGCTTCTGCAAATCCATTTGTTAAACCTTGGCACTGCAAGAGTGTGTCCTACAGCTGAAAAAGATTTAAGACACATTGTATGTTCTCTGGTCAGTTCACTTCCATTAATATTTCTCTCTGCTTCAACTTTGCAGTCACAATCAATCATGATGTACTGGACGTTGTCCACACAGGGGTACAAGAAGCTGATTTTATTTAAATTTTAAAATGACCCTGTGAAAGAGTAATGGGTTACCTAACCTCCAAGTCTGACAACAACCATCACTAAATACACCTGTTTGACATTTTTTAGTCTGCCTGACAGCTCATGTATCGGTTTCTGATGGCGACGTTGAAATTATCACAAAATTCCCTGTTTTGATCTCTGCTCCAGTGTGAGCAGCTGGGCCAGCAAATCGTCTCTCATATTGATCTGTCCTTCTGCACGGCACTACCGCCAGGTTCAAAGACACTCCCGGTCCCGTTCACAGGCAAATCAAATTTTAAGCCTCTGAACAATTTTGTTTGTTAGCTTTAGAGGGATGCCGAAGAAACTGAACTAAAGGGTGTGTTGGTATGACAGAAGGGGAACTGGAGAAGACACAGTACGAGTTGAAAAAAAATCAACCGCAATATTGCCTAAAAAGTCTCAATTTTGATGAACAAAAATGCTTCCATCTGATCATTACAAAAATATGGACATGCTGTAAAATTGTAGGAGTTTGTCAACTCTTTTTGTTGGGGGGCACTGAATCACAAAAAAAAAGTGTGGCAGTAACTTGCAAACCTCAAGAAAAAAGTGAGATGGCAAGATAAGAAAACCGGGGGAAACCCTCTGAGAGAACCTTTATAGGTTAATCCTTTTATAAGACTGAGCGGCATTTGAACGTGTGACATAGAAATAGAGAAATGCTGTCCATGAACAACGCACATTTCCACTGTGTCAGCTGGAGGTGTTTATTTCTCTCAAAGTCACAGTTACATGTACAGTACAGTCAAATCACTGGCTTTTTAAGGGGAAAAAAACAAAGAAATACAGACAGGTTCACTCATTTTCACTGGTTTATGAGTCAATTTAATGAACCTCTGGATGCTAATCGGGAAAAAAATGAGAATTGAATTACATGTAAGCTCAGATCCATGATCTGAGACTCTTCATCCCTTGGATACAGTACTTCCATGTACAAAGATAATGTGATGAAGCAAGGGACGAGAGATCAAATCAGCCAAACCAGCCAATATCTTTCAAGAGAAATAAATTGATCTTTTGGGTTCAGGACAACATCTCGGCACAGAGATTTAATTTGAAGTCGCTGGGTAAGCTGGCGTGGGTTTGTTTTCTTATTAGAGTTCAGGCAGGCATGAAGCGCTGATAAAATTGGTTCAAGCGTGTATGCCATAACCTTGTATTGAATTCTGAACAGTTACATGCTAGAACATGTACTGTACATCAAATAATCAGGCTAACCAGGATTATGCAAAAACACCTTGGAGAGATTTGAGATTCGGCATCATTAAAATCAAGACTGCAATAAGACAATGAATAAGACAATTGTTTCTTAAACTCGCCACATCTGGGTGTGATTTTGGAGGGCAGGGTACACACACGTACCGGAATGAATACCTTCATCCCACAATCCTCCGCTGTACAGGAGGCCAATGGCAAAGTCTGTAATACTTCATTAGATATCAAGCCCAACGTCAGATAATACATACGAGTAGCATCTGAGCTCCACCTTCATCAATCCTGCAAAATCTTCCAAATCCCTCTGGTGCATTTGAAAGGCTCTGTGCAGGTTAGGGTGAAAAACATACATGTACATGTATCAAGGTCCGAGTGTACCTGGTTGTCAGAGGACAACAACGCCTTTTATCTGCCACCGTCTTCTTGTGTTGTCTGGACATGAACCGAGTTCCTCATCACTGATGCTACACCCTCCATTGCTGCAGAACATGGAGAGGGTTGCTCCTGAAGCATGCAACTTTTTAAAAGTCCCTTAAGAGAGTTACCAACAATTAATTTGGCTGGACAGCTCTTTCTATCGCTGATGTCACCACAGGTACAATGTACACATAACATAAGCATGTACGTTCCTATTAATACTACTGTCCTGTCTACTTTTAGAGAAGGTTTTTGTTAGAACTTGAAAAAATTATTTCACGTACAGTAAACCAAACCTTCCATTATTTCTGACAGAAGCCGACAGTTTTTGCCCAATTCCACTTCATGCAAGCACAAATTCCATGGTTTTCCTACTGGCACCAACTGCCCTTTACACACAGTAAAATAATCATGATCATCAAAGTAATTCTAACATGAATAAATCACAGACAGTATGCATGTGCTGCACATGTGCCGCCAATGAATAGTAAATCCACAGTGGTCTGTGGCTTAAATATCACACAGTGCTCACTGTTTGGAATTGGGTGACAAATTAAGGGTTGTCTTGATCAGATTAACGTGTACTTTGGTCTGCATTCACTTCAGGCAGGTGTGGTGATATATGTATGCCGTACATTATGAACAGCTTATGTGCACCTACTCATCACCAATTCTCTTTCTAAAAACATTCCTTTAGAACATTGTAAGGTACCGGTGCATATGACTCCCGTTAGTGAATTATCAAAAATGCTGTTGCAGTGTTGACAGAGTTGAAGCACACATGTTCAAGAAAACGTCTCCTGTAATTGAAAAACCTTTTTTCAGTTCGTGTGATTCTGCAGCTGTCTACATCAAAGTTTTATGAAATTAAACATTTGAAAGGTACATGTATATCCTCAGGGTGAACTTATTTCCTGGTCAGGCTTTGATAAATGATGATGGGACTTTACAAACTAGATTTGTCTGGAAACAAATTTTGTACGGTGACAAAATTTTTTCATGTGGCTGAGTAGAAGTGCGGTAGTGAAATCTCAGGAATGAACACTGGAGATAACAAGAATCAAACGTTCAGTCTCCTTAAGAACACCTACCTGTACAAAATAGTCTACACAACCGAGGTAATGGATGTACACACACAACCATCCATCCCCACTGTATGTGACTGTCTCCCATTTTGTCATTGTCTCTGTTCCCATGGTAACTGAATGATATTCACATCAATTTTAACCATTGTATAGAGGGCACTCCTTTGATACTGCACGTAAATGCGTGTCCTTATATTGGAAAGATCGGTGGAGCCATCGAGCTCATGTATCTGTGCATCACTTTGAAAGTGCAGTATGTATTTGTTTTCAGACAGGAAATCCACTGGGAAGGGTACAAAGGCCTTTTAAAAGGTTTTTCCATAACAAATGAAATGGATGCAAGATATTACTTGACAAATTTCCGAACATCCACACATCACTGTCTGTGTACCAACCTCACTTACATGGTTTCTCGTGTGGACCTGTTCTAACAAGACAGATCCAGATTATGTAGGTTGAGTGAACCTTGTGTGGACTATATCAGGTCCACACAAGGTTTCCCTAGTTCTGTAAAACAGTTCGAAAGACATTTTGGGGTTAATGCCTGCAGGTACCGTACCATAAGCAATTAGGACTGAGTAAAGTAAACTGTCAACAATCACGAATGCCGCAGTGCAAGAAATATGACAATTTTCAAGCCGTCTTAATGTACAAAACAAAGAAAAGTCCACACTGGGTACAGGTACATTAGGTAACAAACATACACATACATGTACACCCATGTACTAGTACAGTGTACAAGCCCTATCCATTTGTACACCATGAAATGAACGCAACACCTGTACACAACACCTGTCAACAAGATAAATACATGTATGTGTATACATGTGTTGTAATAGTACATTTTTAGTGAGTTATTGGAATGTAGGCCAACCTACATGTACAGGCTACTACGTGTACATGTATTTCACAGCACAGTTTGTTGAATTTGATCATTTTATCAAGCACATGACAAATTTAGCAACTTGACTGTTTGCTGTTTTTGCTTTGTGTAGACCATGTGCACCATGGTATCATTCTGTCACTGCCTGAATATTGGCCCATCTCCATGTGTTATAAGACAGTCGGGGACACGTCCATGAATGGCCTGCAGGTTTATTTATGAAAACAGCCCATCCCTCCGCAAAAATCATTATTGATCTTTCCATGTGACAGTCAATAAAGCATTCTGTAACGTGGGGTAAGAGATGAACATTAACAACGACAC